GCTTTACAATGTGATTCTTTTAGACTTTTAAAATGTTTGAGCAGACATTTTGCTTTAAGCTCCCTCTTAAGTTCACGTTTTTCAATATACATATTTGTAAGCTTGAGGTACTTGGAAGCATACTTTTTTCATTTTGAAGAATTAAAAGTTTGTGGCATAAGGTAGAAAATATATCTTGCGCTAGCAGCTTCACAACGAAATAAGAATTGCCAACAATTAGGCGAAGCACGGAATTTTAGCTAAGTCGCTTACCTCAAATAAACCAACGAAATTTTTATCAACTTTTAGAATGTGAAAAGTTTGTGTACCATTAGGCGAAGACTAATAATATAGTCTAATTTGTATACCAAAAAGATCGTTGGTCTCTTTGTGGAGATGAAACTTGAGAAATAGCTAAGTCGCACACCTCATATGAAACGACGTCATAACTTTGTTCAAAACCTGCTTCCATATAAATGAAAAATGAAAATATTTCCTACAATTAGCCACAGTAAAGAATTCTATCCAAATGTCTAACCTCGAATATGCCAAGAAAATGGTTGTCCCCCTCTAAGAAGGTAAAAATTTGTCAGTAATTAGGAGCAGTAAAGAATTTAAAGTAAGGCAAACCAATAAACGCCTACTTTAAAGCTTGAAAAATATATGGCTAGAGATCTTAAATATCTTGAAGTATTACGCTTCTATGTTATGAACAATAGCGAAGAACTAGTTTTCTTCTATGTGAATCAGAAAAGCGTTGAAACACTGTGAAATACATGAAATAATCGTTACGCGAATATGTCAAGGTCTCCGATGAAAATGTTGTGCACATTTTGGCGAACTTTAAAACTTAATCAAAGTCGAATAACACAAATATACAGGAAAAGTTGCTGGCCACTCGAATGTTTGGGAAGAATATGGTTATAAATCTATAATTTCCTGAACAATTGCCTTTTTGGGTTGCCCAAAAAACCATTTGCTGAAAGTGTTGCCTACCATTAGGGGAAGTTAAAAATTTAAGTCAAGTCATACACCACACGAAACTATTTTTCTTCTAAGTGATCGAGCAGTTTGAGATATTGTAAGGACTATGAAGAAATCAGAAGAGACAACAAGAAATACTAATACTATCTTTTGTATTTTAGGTAAAAAATATGGGGAATCAGTGAGCTAACAGTCAATTGCGCAGCGTATATACAATGTAATGTCTGACTCAGAAATATTTTCAGTTGGAATCATGAAATTTGTGAGATTGCAAGTGATAATCGCTGGAATTTAATCTATAATTTCATTGCCTCTTTTGTATTTGTCATAATATAAGGGTCTAAACAGGTAAGTAATATGGCAGTATATTACACAAAATGAATATTAACAAATTTCAAATTTTATATTTGCATACTGTCGGTATATCCTGTATGAAATGCGAACAAGATGAGACCAATGAAAGTATATTTTTGGTATGTTAATTTCATAAAAATTRCTTGAACTAGAACGAATTCACATGCATCGAAATTTTTCTTTGAGCTTCTCGAATTTGTGTCAATAAAATATTAAAAATTTGGTCTTCTCTCAAACTCATTAAAATACGAAATACTGATTTACTTCGTAATAATTGTTATTTATTAATATTATTTYTGTATATTATTTTGGTATACTTTTTTAATGCAGTCTTCAATTACTGAAGCGTAAAATGGCTGCTACAGTATACRAAATTAATTCGCTGAAATTCTTGAACTACCAAAAAACTTATAAATGTTATTTTTTAAGAACTCTAGCATAAYTTTTTGTAGAATTTATAAATTTAACTGAAATGCGTGGTGCATTGCCCACAAATATGCGCATGTGGGCAAGCCGCAGCAATTGCGCTTTCTCAGTTAGCTAAAAAATGTTCACTATTTTTAAGTGCATTTTTCATATTTTTTTATWATTTTTTATTTTTTTTATTTTGTTTTGTGCGCATATTTATTTTCTCACAGATTTAGCAGCATTTTTGTGGCTTAACTCACGCTGCTTGTATGCGCGTGTTTGTTTTTACAGTTCGTCTAGCAGTTAACTAATTAAATTATTTTCAAGTGCAGAATTATGCGTGCTTTTTGCCTATGTTGTTTGTCTTTTTTATGGTAAACATTTATTTGTGCTTTCACAAGCGAAAAATAAATAAACCACATAAAAATATAAAGCGCTTCGACAATGCACATGAATTATTTAAAAGCATTTGTGTTGACTGGCGGAAAAAAGTGAAAATTAGTTTAGCGGAAAGTAGCGAAGGTTTTAAAGTTATGTGCGCAATGCTTAGTAGAATTTTGTAGATTAAAAGTTTAATTTAAGAGGCATATGTAACATATATAGTATGCTGCATTATCAGGCTATTACTATACTATAATACCAAGAGTAATTTAGAGTTCCATATAGGTGTCTGTTTCTATGCTACGTTACATGTAAGTGAGCTTCTGCAACGTGATTTACTGCGCTTTATTTAAAAATACTTTAAATAGTGCTTGTAATTTTTTAATATATATACCATATTATTGTAAAATGAAGACAACAACAGGTTGCGATTTTTTTTTATGTAACTCCGTAAAATTAAAATATTTGGGAGCTCAAACTGTAATTTAAAATACTACGAACAGATGTCAGAAGAGCAGCAGATTAATATCAGAGCTCAGCTATTGAAAACAAGCAAAATCAGTGAAAYGTTCAATGTAATATATTATAGTTTAGCTGGTATTATGCCTAAAAGTATGCTAGTTATTATATTGAACAGAAAGTAATATCCTAATATACTACTTCTGATATTTTAATTGAAAAAGTCTTATAAAAGTGAAATGTGGTTACTTAAGAGAATACATGAAAAAGTACGCTAAGCAAAAAAATAAACGTGTATTGAAACTGAACTGGAAAATGTAATAAATCAAATATAAATTTGAGCTTTAGATCTTCTACTATCACATGAAAATATGTATATACAATTTTCCTTAGAAACTTTTTTTGAGCTTGATAACATTGATGTAATACTCTTAGATAGTTACAGAAGTCAAATGACATAGTTTTTTAAAGCATATTTTTTCTGGGTAAAATAACAAAAACTAATATTGTATAATGCATATAATCAGGCTAAGTTGGCAATATTTCCTAAGGATAAAAAAAAGTTAATATAACTAATTAATATTAATTAATTAAATATACCATATTTCAGTAGGAAAAATAAAATTAAGGTTATATTAAAAAARCAAATTTGAGGTAAAAAATCACRAGCACCGCTCTACACGATTGTTGTTTAAGCGCCAATAGTATATTTTTGAGTCTCACTGCATGTTAAGTTTCCGTTTTCACCACATCAAAAACAAGGGGCATTTTTTTCCATAATTTTTGCTCTTAAAAAACTTTTTTCGTATTGTTTTTATTTGTTTATATGCAAATCAATGCCATTTGTATTAGGCAAAAGCAAACTTAAAGAGCGAAAAATTCAAATCTCAGTGTTTTTAAATGTTAGGAACCACAATTTGAACATGAAACCAGTAAATGTATTTTTCTGGTTTCAATCCTAAAAGTATGCTATTAATTTTAATGCTGCCTACCCTTAGGCGCTGTAAACCAATTTATTCATTAAATAAAAAGTTTAGCTTATGAAGCATATTTCAAAAACTAKAAATATTACTATTTTAATGTCTCGAAACAGAATTTGAGCATGAAAACACAAACCAAAAAATAATTTTCTTGATTAAAAATATTTTTAATATTTTTTTTGTTGGGTAGTGTACTCAAACCTAGAATTTTTTAAAATCTGCATATTTTTTTAATTTCTGTGTTAAAAGATTACTGTTAACTTTGGCCAATCCTAAGGGTATGCTATTACATTATATGTTGCCTACCTTTAGGTGCTGTTAGCGATTTCACAAATTAAATACAAACTGGCACTTTTGACCCATATTTCGAAAACTAAAAATTTTAAGGCTAATTTCTTTGTACATATGTAATGTTAAGGATTTAATAAAAAGTGTTTTACTAATTTCAATAATCGGATATTTTATTTGCAAAATCTGGTAACTGTTKCCAACTCACTTCTTAGCTTAGAAAAAAAGAAATGTTTTTAAACTCTWGAAGCTATCATATTGCAATAAAATTTTGCATATTTTGACAAAAAAAAACCATGTAAAAAATTTCTAATCGGTTGCGCCAATCCCAAAAGTATGCAATTACTTTTCCTATTGTCTACCTTTAAGCGCTGCTGGCGAATTTTTTCATTAAGTTACGAAGCCACACTTTCGAAAATTATTTCGAACTCTTTCATCATAATTTTATAGCTTATTTTTTCTCCACTTTTTTGGGAGATGTTAAGAAAATTRTTAAAAATTACCTACATATATATATCAAGCGAAATTTCATTTAAAAACTGTCTAATCTTTGAACAGTTCTTAGTTCATTTCCTAAATAAAATACATTTAAACTGAAAGAATATAAATTTTTAGCTACTTTACTTTAATGAAAAATTTAAATACTATATATAAAGAATAACTAAAGATTTGAAGCCTCTAAGTCAAAAATGAAAAATAATTAGATATTAGAAGCCTCTGTAGTCAAGGATGAAAAAAAAAATAAAAATAAAAAAGTAATTAAATATATGAAAAACGTTTTCGATTTAACATTAAGCTTAGCAAATGCTTTTTAAATTGTGATTTTCTAAAAAAAAAAATTTTTTTCGCATTTCACACCCTCTCATGCAATTTGTTTGCTCAACTGCAAAATATCGCTTCCCTAAAAATTTTACCAAAGTAAATGAGAAAACAATATTTTTTAAATTTGTTTAAGCGCCAATAATAGATTCTCAACTTTATTTTGCATTTTTCACTTATTTTAAAATTTTTTTTAGTTGTCTTTGTATTTTTCATTTTGTTTGTTAATAATTATTATTTATAAGAAACTTAAACGTAATAACTAATTTTATCAGTCTATTTAACAATTTTAATTYTTTTATATTTAAATTTTCAAACTTTATCGTTTTGCTATTTTGAAGTCCAAAAAGAAATCAAATATCTTTAGATATATATTTACACGCATATACAATAAACACGCACGCACACATACAAGCACACTTATTAACCGCTATATGGTAAATACTAATGCTAGTGAAAATCATTTGTTTTATTTTATCTTATTTTGTTCAGTTTGCCTGCCTCGCTTTGCTAAGTGCTTAGATGTTAAGTAATAATTTAAGTTTAATTCAATAATTATAATTTAAGTAACTAGAACTAGTTAGCGGTTTTACGTAGTYTGTTTGTTTTGTTGTTTTTTCTGTTTGCTTTAAGTTCGCTAGTTTTGCTTTTGGTATGCTACTTTTTACAAAGTCTCATATTTGTGCGAGTCGCTTCAGCACATGCCACTGCCTAAGCATGCCACAGCAAGTGTCCTCAACAATTCACATTCACTGCCCACATACAAGAACTACTAGTTGCCTGACTGCCTGCATACGCRTATGCGCACATACACACACACACATTTGTATATGTGTGCGCTTGCAGGCGTTTAATTAAATTCACTGGTTGCACAGTCTGTCTCTGGCGCCTTGACGCGCTCTAYATTTTTTACACTAATACACACACGCGCACACTTTTAAGCACTCGCTGACACATATACACACGCACGCATACACACTTAAAAATACATAGAAATTTTCTTTGCGTTTGCTAGACAATTGGTTCGGGGCGCGCTTACACATTTAAGCAGACCGCCATGCGCGTTTTACCGCCCGCAATGCCGCCACCCAAATCCAGTTGTTGTTACGCCCACAATGGTCCATTCAGTGCCGCGCTCTCGTTCAGCGATAAACTGGATTCGTAGTGTGCCAGCTGCTCGGTTGGTTGACGATTGCCGCTACCCGCTGAGCTGGTGCTATTATTGCTGCTGTTGGTGACGCTGCTGCTGCGTTCGCTGTTGTTGCTRCTATTGCTGCTGCATGTGGTCGCAGACGCAGCCAGTGCCGGCGTCGGCGGCGSCGCTRCTGTGGATRGTTCCTTTGCTGCGCCGCTGCTCGCTGTGCCACAGCGACAGCTGATGCCGTCATCACTGGCGGCAGACGCGTGCTTGCGCGCGCCACAATTGCATGGTTTCTTGCAGTTATAGCTGTTGTAGCAAGCGCCAGTGAGTGTRCCGTTAGGCGGCGCTGTGAAATTGGATGAGAAGCTGGGGTGTAGGCCACCTTTGGTGACGCGTTTCTGTGTGCCCACAGCGCAGTTGTCGCAATTGTTGCCGGCACTCAGCTTCTGCTTGGCGTAGTCGACGCTGTCGTAGGTGGGCGCGTTGCCACCGCCGCCGCCCACATGGCCGTTGCTCAGCGTGCCCAAATAAGCGGGCACCGCGTACTCGTGCTGCTGATGCGCACGGAGGTGGTGATGATGATCGAGCGTTTTGGCKCCACCGCCGAGCCCAATGCCACACATACCGCTGCCGGCGCCGCCGATGTTATTCAGCAAATCATTTTTATGCATTTTGTGCGAGAGCTCATTGAGTGTGTTGAACTTACAGGCAGCAGTGGCGGTAGGTATGGGCGCATAGCCGCGCGCGCCAACGCCACAATCATTGATGGTCGCATAGTTGTTGCAGTCCGAGTAGTGCGCCTTATCAACGCCGATGCTCGCACCGCTGAGGTGTCCATTTGGCAGACCAACGCCACCACCAACAGTGCTGTTGCCGCCTGCGGGCTGGTATTCGTGCGCTGAAGCGTAAATGTTCACGGCCGAGCGCGTGGCCAGACAATTGGCGGTGATTGGTCGCTTGCGTATGTGCGGCARTGCGATGCGTAGCTTCTGCCAGAATTTTTTATCATCCCACTCCAGACAGGTGCTCGTACGCAAGTAATGGCGCATATCCATGTCGATGTCGCGTTGCGGCAAATCGCCGTAGAGTATGAAGACCAGACGTTTGCGACGCTTCACCATCTCATGCAATGCTGATTTATATTCGAAACGTGTCCATTCGTTGTAGAGGAAATTCTTCGATAACACGACCACAAACTGCTTGGCGCTCTCTGCCGCCTCGATGATGGCATCCGTTACGTACGCATTGATATTCACATCACGATAATGCAAACACAAGCGATAGCCGATGTCRTGTTCCAGCGTCTGTGCCAATATTTGATTAACGAAGTGCTCATCCTGTAAGCTGTAGGCAAAGTATGCGTCACACAGACGATCCTTGTCCAGCGACTCGACGAAACCGTGCGCATTGCGGCCTGCATAACACATGTTGAGCAGACAGTTTGTATGTGCCCACAGTTTGAGCTCGTGGCGGTAGCAGAAGATGCCCAAGATGAGCACGAAGAAGCCGACAAAGGCGCATGTGGCGATTAAGAGCAGCGGCAGTAGATGTTCGATTTCGCTGGCGTGTGCATATGTGGTGACCTCATCGCCGCGTAGCGTGCACTTCGTGCCGTTTTTTTCGCGCAGCACGCTGGTGGCATTGTTGTAGACACAGGAGACGCGTGCCGCATCGACAATCTTCTCGGCCGTCTGTGCGAGGTAGGTGCGGAAGCGCATCAAGTAGCTACACTCGCAACTCCACTGATTGTCTGCGAGCCCAATCTCTACTAAGTATGGGTTGAGTGCCAGCTGCCAAACCTCGAAGTGCACAAGCCGATTGCCGTCCAAACGCAGCACTTCCAACTTACGCAAAGCCTGGAAACTGCCATTGCCGACGCTGGCTATGCGGTTGTTCTGTAGATAGAGTTCGCGCAGGTTCTCCAGATTGCTGAACTCATCGCCACGCACCTCGGCGATGTGATTGTCCTCAATATGCAGCACCAACAGCCTACGGAGACCGCTGAAGGTTGTATTATGCAGCGACTGTACATTCGAGTTATTAACGAAGAGCACAGCAAGGTTTTTGCGGCCCAGGAAGGTGTGTCCTGGCAGCTCAGCAAAGTTGTTGCCATCGATGTACAACTCAGTGGTGTCCATGGGCACCTTGCGTGGCATTTGCGTGTAGGCAGCGCCTGAGCATTCCACAATATTCGTGGACCACGTTTGGTCGTGGAAGCAAGTACAATTCGTCGGGCAGGTCATCTCGCAGTCGCAAGCGTCGAACTCACAGCAATGGCAGACGGCGAAGCAATGTGTCTTGTAAGTGCATAGGAAATGCTTGGGCTCCGCATCGATGAGTGGTATGTAGGCGCGTTCACGATTATTCAGCAGTTTGCAATAGATGGTCTCCAAGTCCATAATACGTGGATACTGTCGCGACTTAATGTGATTAATTTTCTGCAGCCAATCGATGTTGCAGTCGCAGGTAAAGGGATTGCCGCCAATGTAGAACTCAGGCAGTGAACGCAGCTCATGTACGGGCAGTATGCGTAACGATTTGATGTCCAGCGTGCTGATCTGGTTGGCGTAAAGGTCAACGCGCGTCAGATTGGACTTATGCATGAAAGTGTCCGGATCGACGATGTGTATGAGGTTGTCGTTGAGGAAAAGCAGTTCGATAGAGTTCGGTATAGAGGAGGGCGAAATGCGTTGTATTTGATTGAAGCTCGCATCCAAAGTTTGCAGACGTATTTGCGTGTCCAGGCTGAAGCGATTGGAGAGCTCGCCCAAACGATTCTTATGCAGATCCAACCACTGCAGCGTGTTGGGCACGTGCGCATAGTCAAAGTGCTCCAAACGGTTATCGGAGATATTCAGCCAGAGTAAGGAAGGCATATTGCTGAACAAACCGTTGATCTCGCTTARGTCGTTACCATCCAAACGTATCGCCTGTATGCTCGAGGTCATCTCAAAGGCGCCAGGCTCCACAACGCCAATGCGATTACGTGCGAGGTTGAGTATCTGCAAGCTCGGCAGATCCTTGAAAGCATTCATTGTTATATTCTCCAAAAAGTTACCAATCAAGCGGAGACCATAAAGATTACCCAAACCCTTGAAGGCGTTATCCTCCAGCACAGTAATCATATTCTCACCAAGGTCCACCGTGCGTAGCAAACGCATATTTCTCAATGCCAACGGTACTGTCTTCAACTGATTGCCGTTCAAATTGAGATCTTGTAGTGAGCTACAATTGCGGAAGGCTTCCGGATGCACGCCAATCAAAGCATTATTGTCCAGCGAGAGCAGTGACAACACATAGAGCCCATTGAGCGCATAAGCGTCCAAATATTTGAGACGATTATGTGAGAGCAGCAGTGTGTGTAGATTGTTCATGGGCGCAAATGTATCGGCGGCAACATTCTCCAGCTGATTGTGACGCAGGTTCAAGATYTGTAGTGTATAGAGATCAGTGAAGATCTCCGGTTCGAGTTTGGTGAGCTTATTATGCGCCAAATTGAGTAACACCAGACGTATCAGACCCACAAATGTGCTGCGATCAATCCAAGTTGAGGTGATCTGATTGTGTGACAGATCGAGCGCTTGCAGTTGATCGAGATTGGAGAAAAGTTTCGGTGAGAGCACGCTGATCGAGTTGTTTTGCAAGTATACCTCCTGTATTGTGCCAGCTTGCTCGGTGAAGAGCTCGGAAGGCAAGGCAACAATTTTATTCGAACTGAGGTTGACTATTTGCAGATTCTTGAGACCACTCAGCGCCTTATCCGCGATCATGGAGATTTCATTGTTGTTCACTTGCAACACGCGCAAACGACGCAACGTGCCAAAACCGTTGGCGGGTAGCAACACAAAATGGTTGTAAGAAACATCTAGTATCTCCAAATCTAAATTGCAACTGGTGTTGCTAGCGCTGCTGCCAGTTTGCTGGCGCCTAGTCGACACCTCGGGTGTTGCTGGGGTGGTGTGCTCTGTATTAGCCGCTTGTTCACGAGTGCGTTCACGAAAACCCAACTCATTCACGTCCTGCAAACGATTCTCGCTCATATTCAGCGATGACAAACCGCTCAGTGTACAAAAGATATTATCCGGCAAGGACCAAATATTATTCGATGACAAATCCAAACGTTCCAAGTTCTTGGCCACAGCGAAGGCATCGGCTTCAATGTCGAAATTGATCGTAGGCCATAGTATATTATTGGTGCGCACTGTCAGATTGCGTAACTGTGCCAAACCTTCCAGCACATGCCGATTGAACTTGGCTAACTTGCAGTATTGAATGGAGAGCTCTTGCAGACGCACTAAGTGCGCAAAGGAGCGCGCCTCCAGCGAGCTCTTCGCCATAATTTCATCGTTGCACAAGACATGCAACGCCACCGTATGCTCGGCGGGTATCACACTGAAATTGGTTGTATCGAATTCGCTATTGACCGTACGCAGATTGCAGGTGAGTGCGATCTCTGGATGATCCGGCCCGGCTGCGGGCAAAAAATGGCAATCATCGGGCGCATCATAGCGTGGATCCTGCGCTGCGGTGCCGGCAAGCATGCCGCCCGCCAAGCCCGGCTGCAGGTTGGCGCCGCCATAATGTGTCGCCGTAGGCGGTTGTGGCAACTGTGAATTGGTCACGCCCGCCTCGCCCATAATGGCGTTGGAGTGTTGCTGATGCTGCTGCGCTTGCTGTGACTGCGCTTTGCTATTGCTTGCATGCAGCTGCTGCTGTTGATGTTGTTGCTGATGCTGCTGCTGCAAGCTGGGCGCTTGTTGCATCAACTGCTGCTGCTGTTGCATATTGCCGCCAGCTATGAGCGTTAACAGCACGGTGATGACTAGTGTGGCATGTTGGTAGAATTTTTGTGTACTTTGTTGTTTGTGTAAATARTAGTTGGCCATTGTGTAAGAATTTAATTAAAAAGTGCTGTGCAATTAAATATTAAATAGGATGTTGCAAGTGGTGGTGTTGTTGGTGTGTGTCAAATGTAGTTCAAGCGCTCAAACGCGTTTTATTTATGGCTTCAAATGCTTGCAGTTACAGTTTTAGTTGTTGTTTTGCGCATTGTTGTGCGTTTTTAACATTTACTATACACTTTTAGTTGCACACATAACGCGACACGTGCCACAAGGCGCTGTAGAGTCAATGTTAATTAATAATTAATGTGCGCTTGGTGGCTACAATTTGCATTGTTTAKATTTTAATGTGCGTTACTTAAGCGTACGTGCAACACGGCTTGCAACACATACGTGCAACATGCCGTTTTTTAGTGTTGGAATTAATTATTTTTCGTTTTGTGTATTTATTGTAGACTTTACGTAGTATTTCAATTATTATTTTTATTTTAATTAATTTTTCAACTTTAAATTTATAATAATTTTTGCAAAATTTTAATAATTTTTAAAAATTTTGCTTTTTAATTTTTTTATGGCAAATTTTTTACAGTCATTTATTTACAAAATTTCTGTTTTTTTTTTTTTTTTTTTTCTTTAATTTACCCTTCTATATTTATATTTTGGTTGTATTTTTTCTTTTTTTTTTTTCAAACAACTGTATGAACTTTCCTAATTTTCCACGCGAGTTTCACTCAGCTTTTCGTTTCGTTAAAGTTCGTTTGCCACAAATCCTTGCGTTTTTTGCTTGATTTTTCACGAAGTATTTTTCGACTTTAATTTTGGCTCTGCCACTCGCTCGTTCATTCGCCCACAAAAGCACCAAAAAGCCAGTACAAAACCGTGTAACACACAGCAAAATGCTTAGACTTCGGCGTTTGCTCCTTCGTGTCGTACTTTTGGCGACTTGCGCTGCCTGTATGCGTCTGTTTTAGTCCTCWGACCGTTATTTGCTATTTTCGGCATACACCAACGTTCGTTTAGTTCGTAAAATTTGCACAAAAACACATACAATGTACACGCGGCGCACTTGCCACAAGCCTTGTGTATACTTTTTCCGGAAATATATACACTTGACCGCTGCCAATCAATTGTGTTCGTTTCGCTGGCTTTGCGCCACTGCCACACTGTTAAGTATACACATTTAATCAAATCAAATTAAATGCTAATAAATTTTCATTTGTGTTGCAAGTGTTGTGCACTTGCGGCGTGGCATTTATGAGAGTTCCAATTTGTGGATACCAAATAATAGGCAACGCGCACTTCGGCTGTTCGGCTACTTTCACGGCTGCCAGTGCGTTTATCACGTGAAGTAAGCGCTTTTTTGTTGTAATTTGTTGTTAGGTAAAGACGCGCCCGTAAAATTTTGTCAGTTGCACACAATTATTATTTAGTTGCAAWATTTTCGTAAAACTAAATCAAATTCACACACTTTTCGTATTTTATTTTGTAATTTGTTTAACTTATTTTATGTTTCTTCTTYTCGAGCAACGCGTTGGCACTTAACTGTATTCCAATTGTATTTTATATGTGCGAATAATGTTGCTTTTGCTCTGCGCGTTCGTTTCAACAGCACTTAACACTAACGTTTACGTGTCCTGCACATTGGCATTCTAATCGAAGACTGAACCGCTCGACGCACTGAGGCAACCTTTTATAGTACAAAGTAGCAGAGTCACAAAGTTACTGAGTGCCAGCCCATTGTGACATGCCGAAGAGCGGCAGCAGAGCTGTGCGTGTGGTTTTTGTTTCGCCGCTCGCCACAACGGCACTGCATAGCTGGCATACCCACGGGCTGTATGCCTATTGGAGTTGAGTTGCTGGTCGTGAGCGTCAGCTGTGCGTACAAAATCAAGCGCGGAGCGTTTAAATTAATAATAGAGAGCGCACAATGTGCAGAGAGTGAGCGTTAATGCGGCACGGAGCGCAACGCCTTTGGTGAATTTTTATGGCAAAAGGATATAGAGGACTTACTGGTACACATGCTGCTGGCCACTTTTAGTAGGAAAATGGTAATAATATTTTCACTGCACTGTGTTCAGAGCAAGAGAGTAGAAAACTTAATACTATGTATGAAAGCATGTTCTTATTTTCAACGCATTTTCAGCGCAGTTTTTATGGCGCCAATTTAAATTTTATAAAAAATGTCTTTCTTTCATTTGAATTTAATTTTTCATAAAAAATTTGAAAAAAAAAATAATTTATAGTAAATAAAAAATATTTTTCATAGACATATACGAATTGTTTTGGTATCTAAAATAAAGATATTGAAAAAATACCTTTCGGTGTAAACTATTTTTAAGTACTTATAGGTTCTTTACTTAATTTAATACTGAAAAATAATAAAAATTTAAATTAACTCATTATTTCAAGTTAATTTTAATTTCAGTCATAATTTAGTCTCAATGAAATTACTAAAAAATT